CTGATGCTACCAATTGGTCCAGTGGTGAGAATCTTTGTCTTCTTGACATTGAGCCTCAGTCCATACTGAAGGCTGCAGTCCTTGACACTCTGCACCAAGTGCATTAGGTCCTCCTCATTTTCAGCAGGCAGGGTTGTATCATCTGCATAAAGCAGATTGTTAATAGATCTTCCACCAATCCTGAGTATAAATGGCTTAAATACACCAGTGGTGGCAGAACATGACTCATCAATCTTCTGCCTATGAGAGACACATTTTAAGAAAAATAATCAAAAGGTGAGAAAAATTCCAAGCAGATGCCAATAAAAAAAGGGATAGCATTACTAACCTCTCAAATGGACTGTAAAGCAAAAATCTTTTTAAGAGACAAGGAATGGTATTATGTACTAGGAAAGAGCACTAAAATAAATGTGATGGAAAAACAATTGAAAACAGCTAATCCATAATTACTGTTACTGTGAGATGCTGAGGAGTCTACTATAATTCATAGCAATGCTATAAACAACATAAGTGAACCTTGCTGTATCCTCTGCCATCTTTATAATCTCCGCTGTCCTTAAAACCCATTGTTATTGTCCCTTTTTATCTTCTTGAGTGCCTTCCTCCCTTTTTCTAACCCCTCTACCTTCCCAGAATGATATCTTTTCCAAGAACTTGCCCTTCATGACAACATGCCCAAAGTATTTGAAGTATTTGAGACAAAGTTTCACTATCCTTGTCTCCAAGGAGCACTCTAATTGTATTTCCACCAAGACATACTTGTTTGTTCTTTTGGAAGTTCATGAAATATTCAGTACTCTTCTCTAGCACTACAGTTCAAAAGTATCAATTCATTGCACAACTTTAAAATATACAGGAAAACAAGATCAGGAGCACCTTTAAATTTATATTCTTGCTCTTTAGCTCTTTAAACAGCAAATAAACCTTTTGATGTCTTGACTGTTGCTACCATAAGTGTTGATAGTGAATCCAGTCAATAATAGTAGATGACTTTGATACATCACTTTTAATGAAGGACAGAATCAGAGGGGGGATTACAGAAGATCCCAACCATTTAATCAACTAAGTTGACATAAACAGCATAATACGTGTTTCTTTCCAGAATTTGTAGACCATTCTCTAGAGTAGACTAGATGTTAGGACACAAAGCAAGCATCAGTTAATTTTTTTTTCTATTTATGTTGCCTCCCCCTTCCCAGTTTTTTATTCATTGTTGCACATTTTCACCCACTTATATTACTTCCTTTTAAAATAACATCTACATTATATTTTCTAATTACAGCACTCTGATTAAAATTTTCTTTCTCATACTGCCCGCAAACCACAAACAACTCATACCTGACTCCAGTGGCTTTTCAGTGGCTATAAATTAAAATAGAACCTCTAGTGGTCTTGAACTTTGACCTTTGCATTAGCAGTGAAACCCTGCGGACTAAGTCACGAAAGCTCCCCCAAATCAAGGAAGTACTGGTCAAATTAAAGTCGAAAAAGGAGGTGATAGAATACAAATAAGTGAAATGAGTGGTCTTAACATGAGAAACAATTGACATTAAAATGATAAAATACTATGGAAGGAACTCTAGTTTTTCATGTTCATGTTGAACTGTTAATGCCAAGCAGTTTGAATCCACGAACCCCATTGTGGGAGAAAGGGATTGTTTCCTCCTGAAAAGATTTACATGCAACCACAGAAAATTAAGAGGGTTACTATAAATTGAACTTAATTGTGTTCATAAGAAACGTATTCATAGACCAAACAGAACAAGGGAATACTATATGGTTTAAAATAAAGAAAGATGCATTAAGGTTCTATCCTTTCTCTGTACCTGTTCAATCTGTATACTGAGCAAATCATTCTTGAATCTGGACTATAAGAAGAATGTGGCATCGAGATTGAAGGAAGAGTCATCCCCAGCCTGCATTACGCAGATAACACAACCTTACTAAAGCTGAAGAAGTTTTTAAAAACTTGCTTCAGAAGATCAAAGATTATAGTCTTCTTTATGGATTACATCTCAGCATCAAGAAAATAAAAACCCTCACTGCTTGATCAATAGGCAACATGATAAATGGAGAAAAGATAGAAGTTGTCATGGATTCCATTTGACATGGAACCATAGTCAACACCTGTGGTAACAACAGTCAGGAAATCAAGACACTTTGCATTGGAGAATTCTGCTGTCAAGGACCTCTGCAAAGTGCTGAAGGGTGAGGATTAATCTAAAGACTAAGTTGAGCCTCATCCAAGTCATGATGTTTTCATTTACTTCCTGTGCATCCGAATGTTGGACAATGAGATAATCCATATTGAAGGCACATCCATATAAGGTAATTGAACTTATAAGACTTTAATCAAGTATACCTTAGACTTCAAAGCAGACTTGTGTAGTACGTTACATCATTTGATTTCTTGACTACTGCTTCCACATGGATGGTGATTGTAAATCAAGTAAAATTAAGTCTTTAACAACATCAGTCCTCTTTTTATCAAGACATGGACCATTGTCGCAGTTGTGATAATTTTTTTTCTCAGTGTTATATGGTTCTTACTGAAGCAGTTGTTGTTGTTGTTGTTA